AACCCAGTCTTTTTTGGACTCTAATTCTCAGGATTCCTCCAACCAGCATGATGACCGTAGTCGAGCTGCATCTTCTCATCTAGGCCTGTTACCGGCGTTTTGGACTTCGACTCCCACAATTCCTAACAGCAGTAAGCTGTTAGAAATTGTGAGAGTTGAAGTCCAAAATACCTGGAGGGTCGGAGTTGACCCATGCCTGGTCTAGCCCAATAAATCCACTTTGTTTCCGTAAGGGTCAAGATGAAATCAAAATATCCGGAGTGGAATCTGTCCTTGAGATCCTCAAAATCGTATGTAATGTTTGTGGATAAATGACCTTTATGTTGTGGGAAGCTGCATGCTAGTCCGTTGGAGAACTAGTCCTGGTTTTTCCCAAATTAACAGACGGGACAACAAAACTCCTTGGAGTGTGTCCGTGCAAACATCAGCCTCGATATGTGAATTGCACTTATCCAAGGCATAGTTTTTTTAAAAAAGTGAACACAGTTTGGCCCTGTGTGATCTTTCCTCCTCTCCATCAGTAAAATATCATACAGTTGGCCCTCTGCATTGGTTGGTTTGACCTTTGTCAATTTGATGGGAATGTTTTCGCTAGGAATCTTTCGGCCCTCCAGTGCAACTCTGGTCCCTTCCACGCTGCTATATAATCCAGATTATAACAAGAGTTCTTTCTCGCACCCTGGATAATCCACAGATATATAAACCCTACTTTCCTGGCTTCCAACAGACCTCACAATCTCTGGGGATGCTTGCCATAGATGTGGGTGAAACGTCAGGAGAAAATGCTTCTGGAACATGGCCAGACATCCTGGAAAACTCACCGCAACCCTATCTAGATTATGCTTTGAACTGGATTATATGATCTACATTGCCATATAATCCAGTTCAATGCAGATAAACTAGATTTTATATGGCAATGTAGAAGGGATCTCTATGGTCAACTTTTCTTAAGAGTCATGGCGCATGACCTAGAAACTCATAGGTTCTGTAGCACAACTCTGTGGTCAACGTGCGGTGTAAGATGAGCATAGTGTTGTACTTGTTGAACTTCCTAAAGAGATGTTTAGTTTTTAAAAGATTTTTATGCATGGTTTCTTCCACTTTTGTGGGGGTCTTGCACCCCAAACCTTAGCAAAATGGAAGGCTGCCTATATTGTATCTTTGGATCCAATGGGTGGGTTTTAAGTTCTTCTAGAATGAAAGCTCTTGCATTTCAGATCTCAGTCCTTTGCTGCTTTGGGTCTCGTTTAAGAGAGAAAAGAGACATAAATAAATAACATTTTATATATATTCCTCCCTTCTTCCCATGGGGACTTGTTGCAATAAAATGAGACAAACAAACACAAACAAAGGCAGAGGCTTTCCTTTCATTTCCAGCTTTGGAGGCAGTGCTCAGCCTGCGCTATCACCTGGTCGTGTGACCGACATGACTGCTTGGAGCATCGTGCCTTTCCTACTCACATTTGCATGTTTTCGCACTGCTAGGTTGGCAGAAGCTGGGGATAACAATGGGAGCTCACCCCGCTCCCCGGATTTGAACCGCTGACCTTCCAGTCAGCAAGATCGACAGCTTGGCGGTTTAACCCACTGCGGCCCCTAGAGATCCCTAGATAACATTTTTAATAAAATCAATGAATATTCGTATCTGCAAAACACAAATCTGCAAATGTGGAGGGCCAACTGTACTCTTTGTTTACAATTTCTAAAACATCCAAAATAATTTCCCTA